GGCCCTTCCTGTGCCGGGGGCCGCGGCCGTGCCACGGCCGGGCGGTTTTTTTGTTCTTAAACACCCGGAAAACGGTGAAGCGTGGGCAAGCCTCGGGGGTGCTGCCGTGCGGCTCCGGCCAAAAGCGGTGTGCTGATCGGTGCTGGGGACAGGGCGGAGGTCTTCAGATGGCTCTGGCTCGTTACTGTTTAAACCGCCTCTATGAAGTATTTGGCCCAGTCGGCGGGGCCTGCCAGCGGGCGGTGGTCAGAGCGCTCGACCTGGGCAGCTCCTAAGTGTGGGTGCAGCAGGCTTGGCCTTCGGGTCACCGCCGCCGCCCTGGGCGGGTAAGAGGGGTCGTTGCCAGTAGAAGCGTCCCCTGGGAAATGAAAACCTGAAGCCCATCAAAAGATTTATTTCAGCCTGGTAATAAAATTAACAAAACAGCAAGCTGTTGTGTCTAGAACAGTTGCTTCAAAGCTCCTCTTTTCTGTGGGTAGGATCCTTAGTCCCTTCCTTAACAGCTGCAGTGTATTTAGTGTTTGCCTCAAACTAAAAGTAATTAATAAAGCAGATTTCTAGGTACTATTTGTGTACTTTTACTTTTTCCCAGCATTATTTATAACGAGCGGGGAAGGATATGATGTTTGTGTACACTTCCACTTGGCTGTTTGCATAAAACAAGTATTTGTAAATATGGAACAAAACTCATCTATAACAATGACCAGAAGGTGTATCAGAGCAGAAACTATTCCCATTTCTAACTTTGGGAATTATTTCAAAGCTGATGATAATTCTGCTGACTTGTATTCAGGACTGTTAAACATCCTAAAGCGTTCAAACCTCCTAAACTTCAATTTAAGGATGTTCTCAAAAGCTAGTATGCTACAGTAGGTCTCTCTTATTAACGATGTTGCTATTGTCCTTTTGCAGCGCCGAGCTTGTTCAGGAAGGAAAAACTTAACAGTATTCCGAAATACGAAACTGATTCCCATGGAAACATCCTCATCCTCTGATGACAGTTGTGACAGTTTTGGTTCTGATAATTTTGCAAACACGGTAAGTACAGTACAAGAACAAATAAAACTGAGTGTGCAGTGCTTGTAAAGCTTGCAAAAATGTAAAGCTAGTAAATGTTTTGGGCACGATTAAAACTACTTGCTCTGCTTATGTTTTTGTATAGTAGTTATAAATCTATGCTATATGCTGTGATTTCATTTCACTCTTCACTTGTGCTTCTAGGTGGTAATCATTGGAAACAGATTAGCTATTTATTTTAGCCTTTGAAATGTCACCTAACCTAACATGCCTGATAACTTTCAACCGCGGTTCTGAAACCTTGTTAAATGCCTTAACTATTTTTTTTTCTTTATTAAAAAAGCTATTTGCTTATACTACACTTGTAAATGTGAATCACTTTCTGTACAACTTCAATTAAAGGATATTTTATTGTTCATAGAAACGCAAGTTTAGGTCGGGTAATAGAGAAGAACTGGCAAAAATTTTTCACGAAGCCTCTGATGATGAATCCTTCTGTGGCTTTTCAGAAAATGAGATTCAAGATGCATTGGTAAGGCAGTTGATTTTAGTTTGCAATTTTTAAATTTAAATTCTTACACATTCTTAATTGAAAAATAACGGCAGCTTCAGCATGGAAGTCAAATGTTGTCAGAAAGACGCATCATTTTTTTTTTTACTTAATGTACAGTCTAAGTAGCCATAATCTCATTTTCTCTTTGTTTCCATAAAAAAAGCCCCTGAGCTCCTGAGCTTTGCAAGTTCAGAATAAAATCTGCCATATGGATTTTGAAATATAATACCTCCTAAAACTGTCCTTGCTGGATGTTACTGTATTAGACTCTAACCTGCACTCTGACCGTGTAACAGGAAACGCTGTACTTCTTTAGTGGTAGAGAAATAGCGATAGGTGGTGAAATCTACCTTCCTGCTTTTCCTTGACATCAGTGCAAGAGCAGTTTTATTGCTTAAAAAGACCAACAGTTGGTATTTAGTAGAGAAGACACAAGTACTACCATGTTTGGCTTAAAATAGGTTTGTTGTAACTTAACATGCTGAGGAATGACTAGAAAAGAAGAAGTCTGATTGGAAGAGGACATGTCTGAGTTAAATAATACACAGCAGGAAAGGGAATAAGTAGGAGACAAAGCTGGAATAGATATATAAGAAAAAGGAGTCAGTAACTACACATAATGAGCAACCAGAACCATGTACCTGGTTTAATAAAAACCCTGTGCAAATAGGGATTGCCATTTGAAACTGATGGTCTATGCATATGAAGCAGGAAGCCTGTTGTTACATATTGCCAAAATAAGACTGTCTTATTGAGTCTAAACCTAAAAGTCAAAGCCTATTGCAAAATGGCCTTTTAACCAAAGAAATTAATTTCTGTCTTCACTGAACCCTTGGTTCTTGCAAAAGTTGTAAGCAAGGCATCAGAATTCAAAGATAAGAAAATATTGGGATTTTATTCATAATTATTTCAGTGACTGGCTCTAGAAGGAAGTTTTCACTTGATATCGTTGATGCTGTGAGATGACTATTCTTGACAGTTTACAAACTTGGGTTTGACACTGTGCTGAGAACTGTGTCGTGGCTTTTTTCATAGCCAAATACAGTATGTTGCAAAATTGAGCCCTTTGAAGGCAATTCTCTTTTTCACACTCACACACAAACTATCTTTGCTATTAGACCTGCAAGTGACAGCTAAGACTGCTGCAACTGAAAGCAAGCTCCTTTTTCTGATTTGTTGTGGCGGTAGTGTGGTTGTCCCTGAGAGTTTTTTATCCCCACGCCGCCCTCTCCTCCTGCCCTCTTTCCCCCAGCCTCCCCTTAAAATATACTAGAGTACTAGGACTAGAGATTTAAACATCTACATTTCAGCCAGATAGCCTCTTTAACCACCCCCAAACAAAATATTGTCTAACTGTATTTAATTGCAGAGCAACTCACTTGGATTTATATGCTTCCATTCTGGTTTGTTAACAGAAATTGGAATCGGATTCCGAGGAGAATGATACAAGCGCTGACAGTGAGGTAGCTCAGAGAAGGCAGAAATGCCCTGTTCCTCTAAAAGTGGCCCTGAAGTTTCCACCTCGAAGATCGGAGAGGAGGAAGGGTGAGATGGAACCTCTTCCTGAAAAGCTGATGCCTGCTCCAGATTCAGACTCTGACTCTGAAGAAAAGGGTGCCATGTTTTTAGAAAAAAGAGCTTTAAACATAAAGGAAAACAAAGCAATGGCAAGTACTCAATGTTTCCCTGGATCGCCTTCTGCTTCTTCCCCTCCTTCTCCCCCCACCACTTGACTCTTAGGGGACCTCTTTGGTTGTTCAAATTAACTCTTACTGGGAATGATGTGAATGCATTAAGAGGAATTTACATTCTTAATGTTTAAAGCCGATACTTTATGTCCACTGGAATGTGAAAATCCATAGCCTAAGTACTTCAGTAAAAATCCATAGGGTGCAAGCCTAAAGAATAAGGCTTCAACATACTAAGTTTGGGCATTTTCAAATTACTTGCAGTCACTAGAACATAAATAAGGCAAAAAATTGAAGAGTGACTGCATTTCCTGTAAGTAGCTGTACTTCTAGCCAATTGCCCTAATCTAATAGTCTGTAATGGCACATAAACACCCTTTTAAGGCTCTGCTTCCTTTTTCTTTCCCTTGTTAGCTTGCAAAACTAATGGCTGAGTTGCAAAATGTTTCTGGTATCTTTGGTGGGAGAAAATCATTGCCAACTGTCAGTCATGTAAGTATAAACTTACTATTATTTGCCTTCAGATTTCTGAAAGTCCAATCCTGACATTACAAAACAGGACTCTCAATTAAAAAACGTAATAAACCATGTAAATCAAAGTCCAGTTCAGAATTTTATTGCTTCCTAAAACAAGCATTCTCATTGTGCAGTTCTCTTTTGATTTGCCACTGTATAAAGCAGAACAGATTAATTCATAAAGGTTGGGTGTCTCTGCAGGCCAATAAAACTAAACGAGGTGCTGTGTAAATATGTATTTATACAAAGGCTGGAGATAAGGGGGGCAGCTCAGACTTTGAAGCTCAAGCCTGAATATTCTGCAAGTTTGGAGCCTTGGAAAAAAACCCTGACGCTTGGCCTAACTAGGTCCTTAAAGAAGGTTGGGTTGTGAATTGGCAGGGTAATGAATTTCACTGCTAATATACCTGTAAGCCCTGTGAAGATGGGAACAACACTAAAAGTCACAACTCCTCATTGACACGGGTTCTGCTGCTGCGTGGGGGAATTATTGGATCTTACACCTGTATGGACACAAAAGTGCTTTCTCTGCAGCTACCAGAATGCCCAAGATGAATTTGCCTAGGATGTTTTTACCTTGTGTTTTCTGATTTGGGACAGGGGGAGACTCCCATCTTTGGGAAAGGCAGAAGGAAAACATGTCTTTCGAGGGAGGAATTCATAGTAGGGATAGGAGCTGTCTGGGTTTTGGCCTGTTTCATTAGGGGCTTTTCAACTTTACCAGGGACCAAAGCGGCTTCCAAGGCGTTCGTTGCCCAGAAGTGCTTTGAGGAGGAACCCAGACCGAAGTTCTCGGCCTCACACAAGATCGAGGTCCCTGATTGAAGGTCCTCCTACTCCTTTACCAGAAGAGGAAGATGATGACCGGTACATCTTAGTGAGAAGAAGAAAGATGTCTGATGATGAATACCTGGAGGTATGTTGAGGTTCTAGTTCTCCTCTTGCAGGTTGATCATGAAGGTGGTTTTGTATCCCTTCAAGAAAATAGCAATTCATACTGAGTTGATCAACATTATGAGTATGCCATGGCCTGGGAAGAAGTACAGAAAATAGCATGTTGTATGTGTTCTCCATTTCTCCCTGCCTTATCCCTGAAAAATCACTTCCTCTTGTACTCCAGCAGGAATTAAGCAAGATCCAGTAGCATTTCTGCACCCTGAAGGTGACAGATCAAGTGAAGGTGCTAAAGCTGTATCCATATCATATGTCTTTGCAAAGATCTATATCTCTTGTTTAAATATATGATGGGTATTTGAGACTTTGGCATTGCTTTGAAGATCCCCACCTTGTTTATGTAGACTTTTTGCTGAAAGCAATACTAAAAGTATTGTGTCTTCACTATTCAGCATGAAGCCCGAGCTCCCAGGAGGGGTCACCGTGGTGCCATGGCTTTTCCACACATTGTGCGCCCAGTTGAGGAGATAACAGCGGAAGAGCTGAATAATATTTGTGGATCTGCAAGAGAGAAAGTATATAACAGGGCCATAGTAAGTATATTCCAACTTTGTAAAATGCATACTTTGTGAAATAATTTTCTTGTTATTCCCTGCTTGTGGTTTAGCATCAAATAGAGCAGACTCCCTTTCACTGAGAGGAAGGATGTGATTTTTGGGAGAAGTATGCCTGAGATCTTGAAGCGTCATCTCTTATCTCTCCCTGAATGTATAGAATGGCCTTTACCAAGCCAGTTAGCTTGCTTTCACCCCGGAACAACTGTAGTACCTAGGCAATACCAGCCAAGGAAAATGATTAACAGTCACTGAAGATGCAATGTTAAAACAGTCTTGATTCAAACTTGCAAGATGGCTTTCTGTTTCAGGATAAGCACTGCTAGCTGCCGAAGCGATTGTTTGTTAAATGCTTTATTCCCCTAACTAAAGAACTGTCTTAAATGTCTCGTTTCCTAAACTACTTTCCCTCTGTTCTAGGGATCCACCTGTCATCAGTGTCGCCAAAAAACCATAGACACCAAGACAAATTGTCGTAACCCTGATTGCATAGGAGTACGAGGCCAATTCTGTGGGCCGTGCCTCCGCAATAGGTATGGGGAAGATGTCAGAACAGCGTTGCTGGATCCGGTAAGACAATTTTGAATACTGGCTTTATTGTGCTTAACTTGAGCAGAGAGGCGCATTGGTTACTCATAATGAAAGTTTTAGCAGGGGCACTGCTTACAGTGCTGTAGTACATAATGCAGTTCTGGTTTGATTCAAACTGAATCACAGAACCTTGTGTTGTGTAGAACTTGTTGTAGTTACTACTTCTGTAGCTCCGTTTGCCGGAGTAAATTACGAGAGCAGAGCAGCTGCCAAAATATTCTTGTGTTTGAACATCAGAATAATGTTTGTTTGAACATCAGAATAGTGTTGTTCTTTGCCTTGCATTACTGCTTAATGCCCCATGGAAAGGAACTGTATTGTGGGCAAAGTGCTGCTGCTGTTGTGGGCTGTTGAAGTGGTGCAGGAGTTGAGCAGAGTGGAGTGCTTCCTGTGGTTATGTGCAAGGCAGGCAAAGGAGAGTTTAATCCCTTGCAAACTGAAGAATTTATACACTTGTACTGGTTTAGACAACTTCTGCAGCACTGATGTTCACTGCAGAACTGTGCAGAGCAGGGCCCTCTGTCAAGTTGCGGGTGTGAATCATGTCTGGCATTCCAGTTCAGTTAAAAAGGCTTGTTGTCTGTCTTTTGTCTAGACCTGGACGTGCCCACCATGTCGTGGAATCTGCAACTGTAGCTTCTGCAGACAGCGAGATGGCCGATGTGCTACAGGTGTCCTGGTCTATCTGGCCAAGTACCATGGCTATGACAATGTCCATGCCTACTTGAAAAGGTACGTATGCCATTGTGTCAGTGGCGTGGCTCTGCTCTAAGTGGGATAAGCAGCTCAGAATTGGGAGAGGAGAGCCCTCCACATCCCAATTTGTCAGGTAAATCTCAAGATCAGTCTGTGTTGCCTTCAGAATCTGAGATTTTGCCGTATGATTTTTGACATGTTGATTCTTACCCAAAACAAGTGGTATATCTACTCTCTCTTTTGGCTCTTAACTTCAGCTGTGTTTATTGTCGGGCCTTCCACTAATTTGTCTAAAGAGTTTCCAAACAGTGTTTTGCTACAAGCTAACTCATGTTTCTACTTGTCTTTCAGTCTGAAACAAGAACTTGGAATGGAAGACTGAAGCTGTGACTGCCTTTAAATTACGTACTCTTTCACCAATGTCATATTATTGCCTACAGTGAATTGTTTAATCAAATGAGATTACAAAGCCAGTGCCTTCCTTCCCTCCCCTTTTGGGTAAAAAAGGATAAAGAACTTTCACTTATCTCAGTGCAAATCATACTTGGGAAAACTGTTTAATGAAGGTCTTTGCCCACAGGCCATTGTTTTCTTTTTAAATGACTTTGCAAATCAGATAGCATCAGTCCTTGCTTTTATGCCAATAACTTTTTTCCTGAAAGGAGATGGGGCTTTAAGCCATTAGAGTTTTATTCACTCAGTGATCTGTGCTGCAGGTTTATTTATGTTTTGAAGTTGATCACAAAAAGATTCAGATGTTCTGAAAATTCAGGGCACCGTTCCCCACAGAACCAAACAGTGAAAGGTATGTGCTTAACTCCAGGCCAACTTCTGCTGCAATACAGACTCCTACTGAACATAAATGATCAAACAGAAGCTAAGAATTCTCTAAAACAACGATGCATTCTTAAGTTAAAAAAGGAAGCCCTAAAAGTTGCAGCTGAGCAGTCTCCAAGCACTAATATTTGGTTTTATAGAGTACTCAAAGTGTACATTGGCCATTTTAAAGGAGATTCTCCGAGTGACTTAAAAAATGCAGCAGAAGCAGTTGGGGGTGGCACTTTGTATTTTTGCTCAGATGAGAGGAGGCCACTGCTGAAAGCTTCCACAGCACCAGCACTAGCATTGCCTAGCGAGGACAGTGATATGAACATACTGGTATACATTGTGGAGTGACCACTCTGTCTAAAACAGAATGTACCCTTTGTTAAATTCCTGGTTTTGTGGGTTCTCTTCTCCCTGCTCCTGCTGCAACTGCACAACTGCTTCTTTGCAGAATCAGCACTGGTCCTGGTGAAGAGGGATGCCTCCAGACCGGGGCTTGGTTAAACAGAGGGGTAGTGGTTCGTGTGGCTGTTGGCCAGCTACAAGTGGATGAAAGATGGTAACTTGTTGAATTTCATTATCAGGAAAAGGGGCAATGACAAACAATCACTGGAATCAGAAGCCTGAATTTTTTTACCTCTGAAAAAAATTAAAAAGCAAGGACTTTCTAAGCTACAGGCCAGTGTAAAGTGAGTTATTCTTGCAGTTGCATGGAGCAGCATAAACATAAATAGGTAATGTTCTCAAGAGACACCCTGGTTGTAGTAACAGATGAGAAAGAAAGATTGCCTCATCAAAAAGGCTTTTAAAAATAAATAAAAAGGGAGATGTAATGGGTTGCATACAGTTTGTGAGCACTTAAAATGTGGTTAGTGCTGTGGTCTCCTCCTTAACAGTCCAGTCATATTTCTGTATCTGGCTCTGCAGGATTGTAGAAGGATATTTTGCATGATGTTGTTAATGAAGCATGAGTACAGCCAAGATGGAGCTGAAGAATTCTATTGTGCTGTGTGGATGGGGTCTTGTGTACTCAGTGCTGTAGAAAAGAAGGTGCTGTGAAAATTGCATCCGGAGAACCACAAAGTGTATAAATATGCTTAGTTTGGTTATGGAAACTACTGTATAAGCTTCGTATAAGGTTTAGAATGCAATGTTATAAATAATGTACAGTTGAATAGTAGAAGAATCAGCTTGCTTTTATTGAGCACTAGAACAAAATATGGGTATAGACTTCTCTGCTTGCACAGTATTTGCACTGTATATATACCTAACGATTCACAGTTTATACCTTTCTGGGAATTACATCAGTGTGTGTGGGAGGGCAGGAGAGAGGAATTTAGAAACAAAAGAGATTTATGTATCAGACTTGCAGTTCTGTTTCATAAATCATCTGTCCTATTGAAAATCTCCTGTCCTCTCTTTCTCTGTTTTTATAGTGTGAATAGCTGTGCAATCTGAGGTGGACAGTACTCTACCCTCTAGGTACATTTTGTGAAGAAGGAATTCTAGAAATACATGTTCTGACAGATAAGAGCGATTTCCCCCCCGCCCCCAGTTGCTGGGCTTGCCTTCTGATTGCTGGAGTGTGAAAGGACTGTGCTGAAAGCAAACCCTTGCGTCATATCATGGAGACTGCTGTATTTAGATTTACCCAGATATACAATGTTCTGTACAAAAGTGTTTTTATTTTGAAAATAAACATTTTCTGGGTTAGAATTTTTGCCTCTTAACTGTTTTTAAAAAGCCCATTAGAGCTGTACTTTGATTTTTACCACCTTTCAGGTAAACTTGTTGTGAAGTAAAGGAGTTGGTTGTTCCCATGATGCCTGGGGGAGCAGCAGGACTAGGACATCTTTCTCTCCCCAGCCCTGTGTCCCTGAACCAGGCTCGCTGTGATATTCGTGCTGCTTGGATTGAATTGTTTGGTACCTGATGACTAACTTGTGATGGTAGAAGTATGTAGGTGCTGAGTTCAGGCCAGATACAGACTTTAAGCACATGTGCTATGTGCTTACCCTTCTTTTTTTTTCTACATTTTTTTAAACTAGATGCCTGCATCTTGAGCTGAGAAGGATGATATCATTTCAGACCCAAGTCGAAGTCAGGTGCCTGTCACTATATATATGTATATATATTTCCCCCCCCCGCCCCCTCCAAACAAACTTTCAAGTAACTTCTCTCTGGAGCTCTGTGCTGGAGCAGTGAATTACCTGGGGGGCCTTGATTGCAGGCTGACAGTGCTGAAGACTGTTTTTGATACTTGTGCTGCTTGCTTTTGCATCAGCATAGCTGGGTCTAGAGAGAAGTTACATGAGACTGTGGCAGAAGATCACACAAAGCCGGCCTGTAGTGAGAGGGGAAATGGGAAAGAAGCGATCAAGCAGAGTGACTGCACTGTCCCCAGATACTCTCTACTGGTAAAATCCTTGTGTTGTTACTGTCACCTAAAAGCTTTGTTTAGATGCATTACCTTTCATCACACTACTTACAACACGAGATTAAATTTATATGTAATTGTGCAGTATGTTAGTTTACGGTTTATGTGAGGTTCAATACACCTTTTCCCCCAAGCCTCTGTACCACAGCTGCTTAAGTACTGTTGATATTAACTTGACAAATAGTTAGAGCTCATGGTTTTTATCCACAGCAAATGGGCAGCAATTTAAGAAACTTCATGAGGAAAAGATCCTAACTGTCAGCTTTAAAAACAAAGATGTGTGGAAATAGAGTATCACTGTTAAAGGAAGAACAGAAGAATGAGGCTCATGTGTGAGGTAGAATGACTGTTACTTTATTATTGAAAAAGGCTGTGTGAGTTGATATTCCCTCATTACTCTCAGCTTTAGGGCCAGGTGATCTTGTGCCTAGGTCTGATATAACTTCTAATTTTTTTAACCTGGTATAATAACTTATAACTGCTAGAAATAGAATACTGAAAAGACTAATAGGCAAATTACACTCTTAAATTCCTTGGACCTTTGTTCTCTGTGATGGGAGGTGGATGGGAAGGACATTTGTGGCTATGTAATAGTCGGAGAGAAGAGACTATGCTGGAAGGGTGAGTGATAGCTTTTTTTTTTTTTAAGTTAAATATGTAAATAACCCCCCAAGCTTGCTTCTGAGTAAATTTTTCATATATTCAGTGATATAGTATCTATTGATGGAATTGGCCAAAACCTCCTTACTGTCAGAAGATCTCTTAGGCTAGTGTATGTTTATTTGCTTCTTCCCTGTCTCTCTTTAATTAAGCTAAATATTGAAGCATTAGGTCTCTCCAAATCTCGAGAAGGATATTTGTCTTCCTTACCTATTAAGCAAACTGTTTTTTTCATTATATGTAAGTTACAAAAATAGCATTGAAGTGTTGCTTCACGGGCTGATGAAGCAGCATACACTGTACATTCCAGAGCAACACACTAAGCTGCTTGACCAGTTAGTGTAGGGAGCTGCAATGGAAATTTTAAAATAGGCATTAGCTTTGGAAACTACTCCCTCTCCCTTCCTAGCCTCATGGGATAATATACCTTTATTTTGTTTGCCAGAAACCTAAAAACATTTTGAAGAGAAAAGCAAGGAGATAGTAAACATAACAAAGCAGCAGCATCGTTTGCTTGGGTAGGCTAACGGGATCAAAAAGGGCAAAATGGTTGCATCTAGTCAAAGAATGGCTTTCAGTGTTCCAGGGTGAGGGAACGTAGCTGACTTTGAAACCTTATCTCTAATACACAATGTGCATCTGAAACATTTGGCAAGAGAGTCACCCACTGACCTCTGCTGGCATAAACCAGTTTGTTCTCTTATGGCTTTTTGCTAGTGCAGCTCTTGCATGGCTAACGGCATAAGCTAGGGTGGAGATTTTGCAAATGCTGCCTGCTGTTCTTTCATGTTCTTGGCCTCACAACTAAAACAAAGTGAGTAAAAAGAGATGGCTTTCTCTGTCAAGTATAGGCTGGCCAGTCTATAGGGTCCTAAACGCCAGCACCCAGGTAATGCTGGTCTGTGTCATAGATACACATGAGTGTATGGGCTCCAAACATTAAGAGAGGACAGCACCACGCTTTCATCCCTGGGTCTTACCCTTCTGCTAAATAATAAGCCTGGGGCTCCTAGATGGGTGTCAAAAACCCCCCACAAACCCTTTGGGGTGGGGGTGGCAAACGGGAGGGGAATTGTATGTTTGAATCCAAAAATGTAATGATCTGTGTTAGTGGTAGGAGTCCTGAAACTGGGAGGTGAGGGGGGAATTCGGAATCCTATTGTGACTGATATTTATAAGAAGTTGTGGGTGTTGAATTTGTATGAAAACATGTCTAGAGCATAGAGCTACAGTCATATTAAACAGTAAGCCTGTTTGTTTGGTGCAGGCTTTCTTCCAGCTAGAACTGATCGAGCTCTGGTTGCAAGGATGGCAGATAGTTCTGTTATGTGAAAAAAATAAACCAGAAGTCATGGTATGGCCAGGATGGGGTCAGAAGGCATGGCATCTGTCTCTTAGTAGTAGTATTTTAGTAGTATTTGTGCTGATCACTTGAGCTAGAAAAAAAAATCAGTTGAACTGTAAATCCTGCTGCCTTGAGCCCTGCTCATCCAATCTTTCCCCAGGAGTATGGCTGCAGGTAAAACTTACCTCTACTCCTGAAAATGGAAACAAAATGTTACCGAAATTATAGATTAGTATTTGGGCTCAAGTTAGCTTTACATCCTT